CTCACAAAGGGACATCTTCTGTCATATGCTTTTAAATTCTTTAAGGATTCTTCTTTTCTTTCAGTGAGCTTCCTTCAAGTTCACAGTGAGAGCCAAAGTCCACTTCATAGCATATAAGTGGCTGCATAATCTGGCTGCTTTTCCAGTGTTTTGGGGACACACAAATCTCTGTATGATTTTGAGAAACTAAAACTATTCTCAAAGTTCTCTTTTTGCGTCAGGTCTGAGTAGTAGTTTCTGTTGAATTTTTTTTCTGCTCAGTTTTCTGCCCAGTCCATTCTGTTTTTATTACTATATAATATTGAAATAGAGTTCAAGAGTATAAGTATGATACCTTTCTGCTCTGTTCTTTTCATCAAGATTGCTTTGGCAATTCAAAGCTTATTATAGTTTCATGTAAATTTCAGAATTGTATTTTTCATTACTGTCAGAAAGATGCCACTGCAATTTTAATAGGAAGTTTATTGAATCTATAGATCACTTTGAATAACATGGCACTTTAATAATATTTATTCTTTTAATCCATAGACAAAATATTTTAAAATTTGTTTACAACTTTTCTAATTTTTTCATTTTTTTAGTAAACATTTTTTACTTCCTTGGTTAATTTTTTTTCTCATAAATTTATTATTTAATGCTATAGTAAATAAGATTTTTTCTTCCTCTATTTTATCAGATAGTTTAAGTGTATAAAACCGTACATATACTTGTATGTTAATTTTATATTTTGCTAATTTACTGAGCGTATTTATTAGTTTAGATAGCTTTTAATGTTTTCTTTATGGGTTTTTAAATATAAGATTATATGATCTACAAGCAGCAATTTTTTATTTATTTTTCTTCAATTTTAATGGATTTTAAAAATTTCTTTGACTAATTCTTCTGCCACATACTTCCAGTGCTACATTAAAGTAGAAGCACTGACAATGGGCACAATATAGTTTTGTATTGGTGTCTGAATTTGATGGAGCAAATACCACTTCGAGTTTTCATACACTGATTTCAGAAGGTAAAGATTCTTTTTGTTGGGCCCTTAGGGTGATGAGATGCCCTCTGAGTTTGTAGTGAAGAGGGATTGTAGCTTGGTCACAAGGCTGCTGGGTCTGCACTAGGGTCCACCTTTAGTTGGCTTGTTACGGGCTTGGTAGTTGTAATCCCCATTTTATTTTTGGACAGACTGAATGTCCTTCAGGACTTTGCTCCATAGGGCAGACACTAGGGCAAGTTTTTGCAGCTGGGCCTGCATATGGTGGGCCTTGTATCCGGATATGGATGAGTGTGGCTTTCAGTGAGTACCAGAGAGCATTTCTTCAGGTAACTGAATTTCTATATAGGCAGAACTGACCATAAACTGTGGCTCAGGTAACTGAAACTGAGTCATTGAACCACCTCAGCGACCCTAGTAAAGGCCAAGGTCTGCAGGCCTGCCTGCATGGCTATAAATGGGCACCTTCTTTCACGTCTCTGGAATAGCAGGACCTCTGCCAGACTGTGGCCGGGAGGAATTTGTGGTGGTTACAGAGTAAGTTCAGAATTCTCAGTGGAACAAAGCTGGGTGAACCCTATCCTGGTCTGTAACCAAAACAGGGATTTCGTAGTATCCAAAGTGAATGAAAGCCTGCCTTCTGAATAGAACACTTCTCAAACTTAAGCTTTAACAGCATTTCACAACTGCAGCCCTGGATCTCAAATCTCTCTTAGAGGCACTTATTTTTGAGATGTCATCTTGCAACATAACCCAGGCTGGTCTCAAAATCCTGGCCTGAAGCAGTTCTCTAAACTTAATGTACCCTGTAGCTGTCATTACAGATGTGAGCAATAATGCCCTGTTCTCTCATAAAGGCATTTTTGTCAGGGATGGCTGACATTTTTTTTGTTGTTGTAAGGGAATATGAAAATAGGGTACTTTTAACCTTTTTGTCTTGCTGATGTCACTCTCCTTATACACTTTTACTTTCTATTTTCCATTTCAAATTTGTCTCTAGTTTTAGATTCAGATATTTAGGACAATATGCTAGAATTTGCATGGTATGCCAGAAGTAAATGAGATAATTAGTAGGCATTATGTAAAATAGTTACATATATGTTTAAGTCTGATGCAAGCAAAAGGAATTATAGGATTTTCATTTACTTGTTTCAGTCTATGTCTAAATAATAACAGTTTATTTCTTAATATTTGTTTTACATATCACAGAGTCTAACCATATTCTGCAAAATATATATCTTTTCCTATATTTAACAATGTAAGGCGATTCTTTGCTTCTAAAGTTGGATTACAGCAGTTTTATTTTGTGTAACAATAGCATATATTTAAAACATAAAAAGCAACTCTAGTTTCTTTAAAAGGCTAATTTATTAACTTTCTCATTAGAATCTTCTATTTATAATGATACTACATA